ATATTTAATAGCGCAAATTAGGTTTTCATTCAAAAATTTTATACATAAGTTATTTTGTGACATTGCTTTCACATAATATATATTGCTTTCCAATTGCTAAGTGCCTTCAATTCTTACGCACAGACATCACCCTCATCCAATCTGTAATCATCTTATACTTACAAAAGAAACATTTTATTTATTTGTTTGTTGATATTTGAGAATTTTCTGATAACTGCTGAAGAGATCTCTCTGCTTAACTGACCTATTTGGCACTGCTGGATACTTCCAGTCAGGGGACAATACCTTATTGTTTGGTACATTTAATTAAAAGCTGCAGGTCAATTTGCTTATTGTTCGATTCTTAGCTATATTACTTCTTATTTATGATTAACAATTCACGTCTGAAGACGGCTCCAAACTGCTACCTTCCCCCTCCAATATATTTAATCCAACTACTACTAAGATGACATTTTATAAGCATGTGAAGTGAAAGCTGTCTGTGTAATAGCTGCAAGCCTTATGTATTAAATCTTTGCTTTCCACATCATTTTTAACTGGTATACTACTATGTTAGTTTCCTCATTTACTCTGACATGTGCTCAAGATAAATTTATCTCAGAAATTTTGATTTAATACACCTAAGCTGCCATCTTTCACCTAAAATGCCCTTCTAGCTGGTCTTTCTTCTTCCACACTCCTGTTCCTTTTGAAGCATTCTTCCAGTGATTTTTTTAAAACTACATATCTGATCTAGTAATTTCTTTTGCTTCAAACTCCTTGCTTTCAAGATAGAATTCAAAATCCTTAACATGGCTTTAAAAGTGCTGCAGGATATGGACTCTAGCTACCTCTCTAGCTTTATCTTATGCTACATGCTTCCTTACTCTCCAGCCCATTGACATTTCAGCTCAAACCCATGATCCTTCCCATTTCAGGGCCTTTGCACATGTGATTTGCTCTTCCTGAATTGTCTTCTGCCTGTGATACAGCTCAGTTAAAACTTACTCATCTTTTAAGATCTGAGCTCAAACGTTATTTCCTTGGGGAAGCTTGTCCTGACCCTCCTCATAAGATGAGTTTCCTCTGATTTATGCTTTTACAACAGCTCCCTATTCTTCTACTTTTATCACTTAATTTACAATTATACATTTGTGTAAGTTATATATTAATAGCTTGTTTCTGCTACCAAACTGTAAATCCACAAAGGCAGAGTGTATGTCTGTTTTCTTACCATTGTAACATCAGCCCTTAATTAACGTAATTTCTGACTCAATGTGTGCACAGAGATGATTTATGGGGAAATGATCAATTTAACTGATAGGGTAGATGAATCTCTCGACATGCTTTTTTCTTTAATTCCTAAGAAGTGGAGGAAGGTAACATCTTAGAAATTAATAATTCAAACTTTAAAACACTGTAGAAATATAAGAACAATTCCACCTTCTTGAAAGGCAAACATCTATGGCTCTTATTTGCTGGAAAAGGCACTTAATGTCTTTGAACCTAAACTTTCTCATTTGTAAAACAGAGAGTAACATCAGTCCTTCCTAACACATATAAGGCATGATAAAGAATGGTAAACTGTAAAACATTAGACAAACGTTATTTAGTATAGTTACTACTGTGTGAATGAAGCACTAGAAAGGTACCTACATGGGGAAAACTGATATATTTAAGCACTGAATTTTTGTTTTTCATGATATGAGTATCAATATAGATAAAAAAGTCCAGAATTAAATGTTTCGCGGTAAACCCAAATTAAGTTAACACCTGAGTTCACTAAGGTTTGTTACTACTTACCATTCTTTTTAGGGAAGAAAGGATGAAAGACCATTTAAAAAAACTTTGCTGAACACTTTTCAAATGTTAGAGAAATATATTACAGAATAAATAAATCTTATCGTGCTAAAGTTCTAGATAATAATAATAGTGATGAGATAATAACAGCTAACATTTATTGAGGTATGAGCAAGTGGGGCTGTTCTAAGTGCTTTATACATATATAAATACTTGATAATAATTTTATCAAGTAGGCACTAGTATTACATCTTCATTTTGCACATTGGGAAATGAAGCACAAATTGCTTAGATAACTTGCCCAAGATTACACACCAAGTGGCAGAACAGGGATTTAAACCCAGGCAATCTGGCTCCAGAGTCCACACTGAAATCCACTGATATCTTTTCAACTCAGTTCTTTAAACTTTGTTTCCACTTGAGATTTTATTTATTTAATCATTATTTCTCAAGTTTTCCACACCCACAAGTTAAATATTCATCTACCAAGTACAAAAGAAAGCAATTTCCAAAACAGAAAGGGTAGAAACGCAGTAAATGAAGGCTTTAAGATTTTAATACCATAGACTTTAGATAAATTATAGTCCTTCTCTTTTAGAATTTAACTACATTCTGAATTTAGAAGATACACTGAAAATAAAAATAGTTCGGTTGTATATACTGACCAGGATATGATCTACTCGGTCTCTTTTCTTTCTTCCAAATTTCATCATTTTCTGCCAGTCTGTTTTGTGGTTCGATTCCTTTTTAAGACTGAACAATTTGAGTACTTCAGTTGCTATGAAGTTCTATGAAAATAAGAGGAATGAATGAAACACAAAGTTCTTAGGATTTAAGTGTTTAAAATGCAGTATACAGATTACAATGCTAGAGTACAATACTTATAATAAAAGATCATACAGATTACTTCCATTTACATCGCTATTTAGCAATCTGGAAAGAAAAGCATTCCAAATGCTCAGACTTTATTCACTTAAGAGAATTTTTTGTTTTTATACAACATACAAATGTAAAACCCACTGGTGAATCTGCAAGGAAAAAATCACTTTAGGGTTCCCTTACCCAAGAACCACAATTCTCTTACTTCGAGCTGTCAGAACTACTAAAGAACACATAACATCCCCAAATCTGACAAACTGCAAAGAAATTTTGGGAAGCAATGCCACGTGAGAAAAGTACAAGACTTTAGCAGGGATAGTTTATTTTGAAGCACCAAGATTTTAACATATTAAAAAAAAAATATTAACCAACACTTCAGTATAAGAAACATGAGAATCTTACTGGTAACAATATTTGAACTGTCACCCTTAAAAAAACTACAAAATGCTATTTCAATGTTAAAATTAGTGGGCAGGTCTATTGTGTTATATAGATGCATGTATTTTGATGACTACTGGTGTATATTGTATATCTTGTTTTATTTCAACTTTATTTGTTCTTTGTTATTAATAATTTGTTTTATTACTTTTTATGGTTGTTCTGTCAAAAAACAATGTTCTTAATCGGGGAAGGGACACATTCAGAATCATCCAGGAAGATTCTCAAGCTACTAATGTACCCTAAACTCCACCACTCCACTGCTACACACACAGTCATTCAAGTATTTGTTAACCGTGGCAGACTGGAAGGTATGGAGCACATGAGTGTGTCTGCATGCACGTGTGCACGCGCGCGCGCGCACGCACGCACGCACACACACACACGGGCATTCAAGGATTTATTAACCGTGGAGGACTGGAAGGAATGGAGCACACAAGTGTGTCTGAAAAACTCTCCAGTTCTGATACTCTATTCCTTAAAGTTGAAAATCATTAATGATTTTTTGGGTAATGAATCAAATTTATCTGTGAAAACTTTTTTTTGCTATTTAATTGAAGCCAGAGGTTAGTAAACTTTTTCTGTAAAGGGCCAGACAGAAAATATTTTAGGCTTTGTGAACCATATGGTCTCTCTTGCAATTACTCAACTCTGTTGATGTAGCAAGAAAGCAGCCATAGGCAATATGTAAACAAATAGGCATGGCTGCAGTTCAATAAAGCTTTGTTTATAACAATACGTGGTGGGCTGAATTTGGCCCGAAGGCTGTAGCTTGCCAACTCCAGATCTAAGCACATACTACATCTCATAAATATATGCTGGTGTTCTGTCAGTACAAAATGCTTTTTAAAGCATTCTGTGATCAAGTAAGTATGAGAAACCTAACTCTAAAGCCTCACTACTCAGAGTGGTACTAGGACCAACAGCATCAGCATCACTTGGGAGCTTCTTAGAAATGCAGAATTTCAGGCTGCATCCTAGACCTAATGTATAAAAATCTGCATTTTAACAAGATCCCCAGATTATCCATACACACATCTGGGGTATTGTTTTAGAGGTACTGTTCTGGAAATATAACTTTTGCTGAATTAAGAAAACATTTGAGTAGGCAGTGAATACATTTCCACCAATGTTTTTTAAAGCTGGTCTGTTGGGAGTCCTTGTAGCTTCTGGGCACCTAATCTTTTCAGGGGTTTCTATCCTATATATTTTAAAACCACATTAACACTTTGAAACCTCCAAAATCAGAGATGGAAAGGTGATTAGCACCTGTGTGTCCAGGGCTGGCACGTTAAAAAGACTTCTACAATGACATGTTTTCTTGAGTACTTCTAGAACATTATATTTATATCCTAAATGACTTAAAACTACTATGAGTTGGCAATGATTTATTTTCTGAGCATTTCATAATTTATTCTTAAAAAGTTATAAATTGTGCATATATAGGAAATTACTCTGAAAAATCATATTTTGCTTTGCAAAATGTAAGGATTCAGGGTTCTCTTTTACCTTCATTCTTTCATTGCTCATGAATTCAATGAATCAACAAATATTAATTGAATACCCACTATGTGGTAAGCCTTGAGGACATAAAGGTGAATAATACAGAAGAGCACCTGCTTTTATGGCACTTATAGACCTGTGTAAATGAACAGCAAATCAAAAAAGGATATACTCTATTGTTTGTAGTTTACCTTGATTTCATCAAGGTCGTTGGGATTTTTCACTCGTCTGAAATAACTAGAGTTGATTCTACATGGCTTCATCCAGACAGGCTGATTCAAGTTGGGATCCTCAGCAAATATTTCCTCAAAAATCTCTTTTGTTAAATCAAAAACCGCCTTGATAGAAAAAAATAAAATAAAATGGCTAAGAATCCAAATATCAGACAATGAAAAGGAGTTTAAAAATTAGAATTATCCTATGTTACATACCTGTTTGTAGACCCTTTTACTAATGCTTTCTATGTCTTGACCCTTGCTTACAGAGTCGAGCAGTTTTGTAGGAATACTGATACTACGCAGATCATGACCTAATTCTTTCCATTTCCAAAGTTCTTCTGCTGCATCATGTACAAGAATTTCTACTTCCTCTGCAGTATGTGGGACTGCCAACAATGTTTCACATGGCTTTTGGGGAGGTCTTTTAGATTCTGCCATTACAGGTACAATTGTTTCTTCTACCTTATTTTTTTGGACTTTGTGAGAGGAGCTCAAACCAAAGTCTTCATCAAACCAGTCTTGATCATCTCCTAACACGCTCAGGAACTCCCGGCTGATCTCAAGTTCGGCAAGTCTCTTAGCAAGCTCCTCCTGCCCACTGGCACCAAACACTGGGCTTTCCTACAGAAGTGGGACCATTCAAAGAGAAGACCATTTAGTGACCTCAGATCATTTAAGTTTTTTTTAAGACAAAGCAAAGCTATTATTTGTGTATTTATTTCTCTATAAATAAGCAAAATGAAAACAATATGGTGGTTACTAATGAACAATTTAAGAAAAAATTATCCTGTTTCCCACAAGTCTATTAATATAAGTCTTATAACTGAATTCTAATAAAGCGTTTATTGACTAAGTTTTTTTTTTACCTTTTTATATCATTATTATTGTTTCTGAGGGACTCTCTGTCTCTGGAATGGAAATGGGATGTCGAATTTCTCACCTTTGGTGATTATGGTGATTATCTGTCTCAAGTTACACAAAATCATTGCTTTTGCTCAACGGTCCACGGGCATCCTAAACAAGTTGATGGTCTGAATATATGTCATAGTGGACATATTTCAGTTTTACCAGAAGCAACATCACAACTGGTAACATCTGAAGGCCAATCATGACTGATAGGCAGACAAATAATTTCATAGGAAAAAAAGGGTTTCCTCAAGAACTGGGCTGTTGACAATGGGTAAAGCTCCATGGGATCAATCTGTACAGTAAATCTTCAAGGGGATCTAATCCGTGGACAGCACATAAGGGTTGTCAATCCAGCAGTTTAAATGGATGTTTCATTTCCCATAAACCTGCCAGTGTTTGTGACTACTCATGACATAATAGAGGACAATTACATACTTCAGAGAGAAAAACAGCTACAAGGCCTTTAAAAACTAGTATAGTGATCTTTACCTAATAAACAACATGTCAGAAGAAAACCATCAGGAGCCAGAAGATTAAAATGCCCTATACAGGTAAGGTAAATTGACACTTTTTCTGAGACTAAATACTTACGGGTCTGGGACACATATCTGGAGAAGAAATCTCTTCTTTTTCATCTTCTAATTCAGATCTTAACAAGCAACTTGGAACACTTAATGATTGTTCCTCAAAATTTTGGAACAGGCCTTGGGGTGGTACTTTCTCTTGGTCATCATCAACAAGCTCCTGATTGCTAAGGTAGATTTTCTCATTCCTAACTCTTTTAATTTGTTGCAGTTGTTTGACTGTATCCGTCACAAAGACTTTTAATAAACTGTTGGTCAGTAAGCTGACTGTTTCTAGTTGTTGCTGTGACTTTTGTTCCTCACTTAGTGATGACCTCAACTGAGATTCCAATTGTTTCTTTTCTCTTGTTAAAAGGTCCAGAAGTGGAGTAGAAAGCTTTTCTGAAACTTCGGAATATAAGTTCTCTTCCTTTTCTGTAAACTGCGGTTGCTTCTTCAATTCTTCTGAAAAGGTATTGTCTAAGGTATCATCTTCTACAGCAATGGATACCTTTTCAGTGGCACCAGAAAAAAGGTCTTTGTTCTCCTTTGAAGAAACCAGTGAATCCACTGAAGATTGCTGGTGAACATGGGCTTCCAGTGCCCCAGAAATGTCCTGTATATTGTCCATTCTAAGGCTTCTGTCAACTGAGGCTTCTATATCATGCATGCTAGATGGAGATTTTTCATAAAAATATTCAATTGTATCCTTTTCTCTATCAGACTTGGGAACCTCTGTATCTTTTTGTTGTTGATTATAGTATTGACGATATTGTTCATCTGAATAAGAGTCTTCATCTTCATTTATGTCTATATAGTCATCAAAGTTTTCTGGAATGTGGGATATTTTTTGAGGAGGAGCAAAAATACCATGCTTCTCTTTGCACACAAAGTACACAATACCATCATATGTTCCATTGTTATTTCCTTCAGGTTTATCCAACTCTACTCCAGCCCAAAATCCTTCAGCAAAACTAGTCACACCTTTGAATCGAAGAGTTCCTGGCTGAACATTGCCAATTAATACCCTATCACCAATGTGGAAATCAAGTAACTCATCTGCAATAGAAACTGAAGCCAAGGAAAGGGATTCAGTAACTCCCTGTTCACGCTGTACATCACTGCGCTCCTTACTTTTCATAAGCTCAGTAGGGGATTTGAGTTCCAGCAGCCTTTCAGAGTGGACACTGCTATGAATGGAAAGGCTTTTCTCGCTTAGACACTCGCTAATTTCATCATCACTATCAAAGCTAGTAGCTCTACTTCTAGATCTCCCCATTGGCTGAGAATCTTTCCCGAGTGACAACAAAGATGACACCTCAAAGTCATCTTTGTACAATTCAGCTGAAACGTCTTTCCTAGGAGAAGATGCTTCAAAATCTTCAGAGTATGATACCCCTCTAGGAACAGAAAGATGTTCTGACAAAGACGAGTCCTTTTCCTTTAAGTTCTTTTGTTCATGAATGTCTTTTCCTGGCTGGAATTTTGGACTATGATCCACATCTTGATCTGACTGTCTCTCTTTCAACATTTCCTCTTTTTTATGAAGATTTTCTACAGCTAATCTAACTACATCTTTCTGAACATTTACAGGATCTAAAGGAAGCTCTCTCTTTGAAAGAATTTCAGATGAATCTCCCTGTTCCAGGTCTAGTTTCAGTAAGACATCAGATTTCCCAGACTGTTTAGAATAGGCATCTTCAATCTCACTCTTCTCCAATTTTGCAAATTCCACCTCCTCTTGTATTTCTGATTTTTTATTAGATTGTTCTTCAATCTTGGCTTCTGATACATCGAGAATTCTATTACGGGCATTTAGTAAAGGTAATGAAGATATATTTTCTAGAGAATCTCCAGATTCTGCCCTATTTTTCCTTGATGATCTGAGAACTGGAGATGAAGTATGAAAAAGCTCTTCTGCTCCGCTATCCAATTCAATCACTCTCTTTGCATATGAAGAGAAAGACCTTCCTGATACTGATCTCTCGGAATCTGACAATGCAGCATCTTGAAGGAAAAAAAAAAATCACCACATCAAAATTATTTAATCACAATCTTTTGATTTCTGTGACTGAAGTTTAAATAAAAGCCAAATCTTAACGAGGAAAAACTATGGCCAATAAATGACCTGTTTTGGTTACCAAACAAGGTAAGTTTTTCTTTACTGTACCAACAATAAATAGAACATTTAATATGAGTTTGAAAAAAAGTTTGTGGTAATTTCTTAAAGTGTTGTCTTAACCTATAAAGTGAAGAAAAATGGATCTAACTTTATGGCAACATTGTTTTGCATGGTTTTCTCAAATCATGCAAAAACAGAATTATATAATGAATATTATATGTATTTTTCAAATAGGAAACCAATGAGAAGGGGAGAAATATACTTCTTCACACACGTCTGAAAGAGGGAATATTCCTGGGGACTTCAACTAAGCTCTCTAACATAAAACAAAAACAAAAACAAAAAGGTAAAGAAAAAAGAATAATTATTTCTGTAAATACAGCACTTTAAGAGCTAAATTTGCAAAATAAGAAGAAAATAAGCATGATTTAATGAGCTAATGTACCAAGAATTAAATGTTTTGAATTAAAAACTATTGTCCCATTGTTATTCAGGCTTTTTCATGTCTCAGTTTTGTTTTATTTCCTTACTGAATTACATTTTATTCTCAATCGTTACCTTTCTTTTGATTAAATTGAAAAAAATGCATATTAACTGTATACCCTGAAAAATAGTGAAGGTTGAAAAGATATACACGTTAAGAAGAACACACTAATGAAAAATATACATGGCTGATTAAGGGGGAATTTAGAGATGCTGATACACTCAGCCATTTTAGATTAATGTTTTCATGCTTCAGTTTTTATCATAAAATTGGGACAATAAACACTGATTCACATAACTTATGCATAACAAATAAATTACTTTAAAACATAAAAGTAACTTAAAATGTTAAACAACATGAATTTCCTTAAGAAATTCATTTTTTTAATCAAAAAGCTGTACAGATAGAAGGGAAGCCTTCAGCAAAAATCCTTAGACTATGTAGGTATAGTTTAATTATCTTTTTCTAGTTACATACCAACATGTTCAGCAATAGACTCCAGAGATCCTTTAGAACGTTCTGACTCTGTTAGTGATTTCCAATTCTTTGTTGTTTCAGTTCTGAAGTAGAAAAATTAATGAACAGAAATAAATGTATTGCTAATACTGTGATAACTGCTAATAAAAAGTAGTTGTCCTTAGACAGCTACTTCTTTCCTCTTCTCCACAGGAGGTGTTCCAACATTTGCTATGCTCATCAAACCTATTTCTGGCCCTCATCACTCTTAGTAGATGATCTTTCCTCTTTTAATGAGAAAAAGAGAGGCCATCAGGCAAGAACTTTCTTATTTTCAACCTTTCTACCTTGCTAGGGTTGCTACGAAGTGGAACTGACTCAATGGCAATGGATTTGGTTCTACCTTTTTTTTTTTTTAACCTATAAATTTGTCTCCATTCATAGCCATCCCAGCTGCCTTGTTTCTCGCTTGTTCACAGCTAATCGCTCAAACTTCTTTCTGCCCCAGGTCCTATAACTTTCCACAGCCTCATGGATTGAGCCTGCTCAATTATTCATTCTCTTTTCTACAATCTTCAGTTCTTCAATCTAGGGATTCTTTCCTTCACTTGTAAGTTGGCCTCAAGTCTCCAAAAACAATTTTCCCCCTCAATTCTTCATTCCTCCACCTCATACTACTGTCCTCTCTTAGGTTTTATATTTAGCAGGAAGAGCTACATTCACTATATTAATTTCCTTGCCTCCTCTTCATTGCTAAACCATAATATTTGGCTTCTACTTCTACTCTGTTATAATGCCCTTCAAATGTTGCTATTTCCTCATACTTAGTACTTGGCTCCCTTCTATCCTCTCTGAATGCATATTTTCTCTGGGTGATGTTGCTATATTATGGCTTTAACCACCATTTATATGCTAATGATTCCTGTACTTCTAACCCTAACATCTTTCCTTGATAACTCCACTTAGACAAGCTACCAAACCCAAACTCATTGCAGCTGAGTCGATTCCGACTCATAGCGACCCTACAGGACAAAGGAGAACTGCTCCGTAGGGTTTCCAAGGCTGTAAACCTTTATGGAAGCAGACTGTCACATCCTTCTCCCACAGAGCAGCGGGTGGGTTTGAACGCTGACCTTTGGTTAGCAGCTGAGCGCTTAACCACTATGCGTCCAGGGCTCCTGAGATGAACTACAGGCACCCTAAAATCATAAGCTTCCCACAAAACCACCTGCTTTCCCACTTAGGTTAATGAAACCTTGACCCAGCCAACTACCTAAGACAGAACCTAGGAGTCACCCAAGACTCTCCCCTGTTTCCCTATATAGCACTTTAGTCTATTTCCTAAATATTCCTAAAATCTGCCTCCTGTTCTCTATTCTTATTACTGCTGCTTATTTCTGAGACCTGGCTTAACCTACTATCCTCCCTGCTTCTATGCTTACTCCCTTCTATCGTTCCTTCATATTTTGGTATGAAAGATCTCTAAACACAAATTTGATTATGTCACTCTCTGGTTAAAATCCTTCAGCAGCTTGGTTAGGAAAACTATAAAGAAATTCAATAGTATATTATGTAGGAATTAAAATGAAATTTACAGCTTCTAATATAATGGAAAAATGTATATGTAACAAAAATACATACAAAATCTAAGCATAACAAATCCTGGAAGGAAATACATCTAATTGCTGAAATTTCCTATTTTGGGATAGTTGGGTATGAAATGATTTAAGCTTTTTTCTTTTCATTGTTTCCCTAGATATTCTGATGATAATAGTAATAACAATAACTGCAGCTAACATAGTGCTTACTGTGTGCTAGGCCCTGCTCTAAGTGCTTGATAAATATTAAGTCTTTTAACCCTTATAACAAGTATATTTGTCAGGTATTTTTATTATCCCTGTTTTATAGAGATATAAATCCCTACTAAAAAATGAAAGCACACAGAAGTTAAATAAGTTGCCCAAACTTACACAGCTAGCTGGAACTGGAGCCAAGATTCAAACTCCAGTAACGCTAAATTAATTGTAATGAGTTGTATTACCCTTGTAACAAACAAAAACATCCCAAAATACTAAACTTTAAAAAAATTCTTCAGATGTTCAACATCTTCTACAATGTAAAATACAAACTACTGAGAATAAAGTATAAGGTTTTCACAATTTGGTTTCTACTATTTTTCTAGTGTCTTCTCCTAACTCTAGCAACTTCCTATTATGTTCAGCTTCTATGATACGTCAACCTTTTTTTGCTTTTGGACATTCACAAATGCTCTTCTCTCTGAAATGTCCCCTATTTCTCAGTCTCACTGTTCTTCCTAACCTCTATTCACAGCTCAAAATTTAGTTTAAATATTACAACCTGACATTTTTATATATATATTATTCTAATGTTGCTACTTAGTATTTTCTGTATTCACTTTTATTTGCTATGTAATATTCTATTGCCTCACCCATTTCTGATTTCTGGACATAAAAAAAAAAAATTACTTCCAATGCTTTATTAATATGAAGGATGCTATGAGAAACACATTCATGTGAATAGGGAGATTTTTTTTACCCCATTATTTTCTCAAGCTAGATTTCCAGCAGTGGGATTACTGGGTGAAAGGTTGGAAGTTTTTTTTTTTTTATCTTTGAAACATTGCCAAATTACTTTTTAAAGGTTTATACCAACTTAGAATGCTATTTACTACTAGCAATGTTTGAGAGTACCATTTTCACTGTGCCCACCAGATTTCAGGATTACAAATTTATTTTTTAAATTATATCTTACTGTGAATTGGATTTGTCATTATATCAGATGTAACACTGTAGCGAAGCTTGTGAGATATATATATATATCAATACTTCTACAACTACACAGTTGCTTACAAGATAACTTTGACTAAAAATCTTATTCTTTTCTCAAATAATGCAGAATATAGATAAATTATCAAAAATATCTACCTGTGTAGTGGAAGGGGCTTGATCTTGGGTTTTTCAGAAGCTGAGGACAGCGTTTTAATCTGAGGCTTGGCTGTTGGTGATGTTTCCAAATCTCGGCTAAGCTCGGCTTCAGTCTTCTTAATGAATTCATCATATGACTAAGTTTAGAAAAATTAGAGCAGTCAATAAGCAGAATTTTTAAAAGTTATGTTAAATTATAAAATAGTATACTTCTAGGAAAAATAGTCAAACAGTAAAGATGATGTAATATAAAAAACTCCTTCCATGTCCCCCAATCTCATTCCCCAGAGCTCTACATTACTTGCATATCCTTGTTGAAACAGTCTATGTATAAGCAAGATGTATACTGTATTTTTATGCAAATAATGCATGCCTTCTACATTTATTTGCCAACTGCGTCCTCCTCCCGCAAGGTATTTTTGTAAGGGGGCTGGCTATGTTGATTTTTTTCTTTTTACAGCCAACATGTAAAAAAAAACCTGGCACAGTGGCGCTTATGAAAATATCTTGTGGGGAGAGGGTGTGGTTGGCAAACAAATGTAGAAGGCACATTATTTGAGTAAAAATACAGTAATCATAATCCTTAACATCAATTAAGAATAAAGTATCTACAGAAGTTTAATACTTATGAAGCAATAATTCATAACTTGCCACATTAAAACACTTCTTTAACTGATTATACAATTATTCTCTGAACGGTGTCCTAATACTTTAATGGTACTTTCAAGGTTAGCTATTCTGCTCTGAGTTTCAGTGGCAGAAAGCTTTTTAAGAGACAGCTTCCTAAGAACACAAATCTTGAAGAGATGGAAGAACGATACTTCAGAATTGCAAAATGTTTTCTGTAAACAAAACTTCACTAATTTAACTATAATTCGTATGTAATCTAAGGGAATCTGTTATCTCTCTCCTTAGTTTACTGAGCTAAACATCCCTTCTTTTACAACTCTCACTATTTGAAGTGATTTCCAGACTCCTCATCATCCTTGTCACCTTCATCTGAATTCTCAATGTTATAATAAAGTGACTCTTGGTATAAACAGATAGATGGTCTGGCTAGCTAGGTATACACAGGGACTATGACTTCTCAGATCTGAAAGTTATATGAGTGTAGTCCATTTATTAGACTTGTGATCAAATAAAATCCAAAACTTTTTTTTTATATGAACTGCTACATATTGTATATTTCCCTATTGTGTACTACAGTGAAACCTGTGAGAATCGGAACTCGATGGGACTGCCTTGTTTTTCTGAGTCTTGCAAGTTTTCTGCCTTTGACAGTGCAATCTTACCACTTTTCTATAGCTCGTTTTGGTGGAAAATATTTGAGTTTTCCTTCTCTGACAGGTTTCCACCTTACACAGCTTCTGGGTTTTGTAGGTTTTACTGTAGGTTTTCAAAATTCAAATATGGAAGTTTCCTTTGTCTTTATTTAACCCATTTAACAAAATGTTGAATGAGATGGATCCTTACAGCACTCCTCTAAAGATCGCCTTTCCAACTGATAAGCCATTAATGAACATTTCTGAGCAATGCTACTCAATCTAATAGCACTTCATCCATAGTACTCGTCTACGCAGAAGCTTTCAAGGTTCGTCATTGCCTACAGCAATACTTTTAAGTCCTGGGCGCCTCCCTAGACCAATTAAATATAAATCTCTCAGAGTGAGCATAGCTATATTTTTCAAAAAAGCTCCTCAGTTAATCTGAAACGTGTGGTCAGGGTGAAGATCACCAACCTATAGGATAAGTTCAAAATCATTAGTTTGACTTCTAAAGTCCTAACTATGATCTTATTTTAAAATTTTGTTTCCTACTACTTCCCCACACAAACTCCCCAGTATTGCCATTGTATCTTAATCACTTTTCCTACTTCTAAACATTTGCACAAGCTGCCATCTCTGTTGCCATTTCTGTATTGTGTACCTGTGTAAATGATTGTTTTCTCCACATTTGTTAGGCCTGTTTTCTGGGTGGAAGGTAGTACAGCATGATACTAAGGGCACAGAATTAGAGCTAGATAAAAATCTTAGCTCTACTACCTATTAGTTGTGTGTCTGTGGGTAAATCATTATTGTCATTGAAACAGTTTCTTCATCTATAAAACAGGGATAGTAATACCTACACCTTGTTGTTGTGACAGTTAAATGAGAAATATATGTAAAGAAATTAGCAGAATTTCTGGTACATAAACAGGCACTTGAGTACTTGATGATTTAATTAATAAATGCAGGAGGAACAGATGTTTGGTATTACACAACAAGGACCAATGGGTGGAAATCAAAAGGATAGATATTTTAGCTAAACATAACAAGGAGCTTTCTAACACTTAGAACCCCTAGAATCTAACAATGAAATCGATTGCCCTGAAAATTTGAAACTTCCTATTAGACCCACTCCTCACTTATCGACATGGTTAGGTTCCAAAGACCAGGTTGTTATGCAAAAATCAGTGTTATGCAAAAATGGAGGATGATCACATAGATACCAAAATGGAGGATAAATATATCATTACATAACTGCCAGGCCACTGATAATCACGGCCCAGCCAAGTTGACAAATAACCTTCACCATCACAGCCAGCGTTACTCTCGCCTCGCACCTCAGCGTTTGTACTGCCAGATGTGCATCATTAATAATGTGCAAAATAGGAGATTTTTTTACTATTGTTGTAAATGCGAAATGTCAGATAACAAGATAGTCAATAAGTGAGGAGTAGGTGTACTGGAAGTGTTCTGGTAGAAGCAGAATGATTCTCTCAGATGATGCCATGAGAAGGGACTCTTGCAATGAGTAGGAGGTTCAAGACTGATTCTATAATGAACACGATGGCTTAAGAACACTAGGCTGGAAGAATATATGTTAACAGGGAAGCAGCCAGATGCAGAGACATCTAAGAGGCTATGTAGATAGTACAGGCAAAAGGTAATAAGGGCTCCAACAGTAGGAATGGAAAGGGACAAGCAGAAAGTTTTATAAAAGAAGAATCAATGAGATCTGGTGACTGAATGGATAGGAGAAAACAGAATAAGGAAGATATCAAAACCAGGTTTCCAGCCTGAAAGAGAATCAGGCTTGAGAGAAAAGTCATGTCCACAGTTATCATTTAGGAATCACGCAAACAGTACAGAAAGTTATACTAATAAGTTTTGTGGCATGAAACACCATTCTGCTTTAAAAAATAAAAAAGCTGTAACAATTCCAACAGCTAGAATTATTTATCTAATGGTTCTTTGCTTAAGAAGGTATGGATATCAATGTTTTTTTCACAGGCCTAATCTTTCTTGGAGCCCTGGTGGCACAGTGGTTAAGAGATATATTGAGCTACGGCTGCTAACCAAAAAGTCAGCAGTTTGAATCCACCAGCCGCTCCTTGGAAACCCTCTGGGGCAGTTCTACTCTGTCCTATAGGGTCGCTATGAGTCGGAATCGACTCGATGGCAACGAGTTTGAATCTTTTTTTACCGAAAAATCATTGCTTTAATACTTTATTTATTTTAATATTTAATTTAACACTTATGTTTTAATTTAATATTTAATGCTTTAAGCAAAAGTTTGTTGTGATGGCCTCAGATTTTTTTTAGTTAGGATAGAATGTGACAACAAACTAATATTGAAAATTCCTAAACCATCACTTTATTAAAAACATTTTAGGCATCACATATACATTAGTCTCAGTATTGAACTTGTTTCTTTCTATGTCTAACCTCTAACTGTTTGATCAGACTGGCTTCTTGGGCTTTCAGTCGTTCCTTTTGCCTTTTTTTCTGTTCCTTCTTCAACTGGTCCACAACTGATTTTCTTTTCCGTAACTCATCCTTCAAAGCTCTGATTCTACCTTCAATGTCACTCTGGTCAGAAGTAGTTTCTGAAAAAGATAGAAAATTTTTAATTTAAGAATAAAGTTAACTCAGTAACTACTAATGAAAAGCTTTAATGTAATAGTCCTAAAATAAGATCAAACTAATATCTAACATCAAGAAATTGAGCTTCTGAAAAAAAAAAATACTGTTAGTGATTTGCATCCTTCCTTTTTTCCTAATCTCTATTTTTTTCTTGATTCCTCCACTTTATTTTCACTTTCTAATTGTACTACTTGAAACTGTAAACAAATCTCAAGGTACCGTGTCTTGGTAAGATAAGCAGCTAGAAGCTGAAAATGTTTTAGGTTAGTGAAATTTGGACATTCTTTAAGAAATTATTTTCTGGTGACAAGATAGTCATATTTAACTAGTTCTCCCCTAAATTACATTTTAAACCCATATTAAACCAAACTTATCATTTTAAACTGATTGTGAGTCATCAGATGATGTCTTAAAACCACATAAAAGGACAGCAGTCATAAAGAAATATAATTCTGTTGTAACCTTCCTTTGAAAACTTGTAAAATATTTAAAACAATTGAAAGGAAGTCTAATTAAATCTCATTTTATTCTCAACAGTTCATACATACACATTGTAGACGTCCAGTCACAGCAAAATCATGAAAGTACATTTCATTATAACGGTCACACACTTGGCAAAGAAAATAAACAAGTATCATTTAAAGAGGCTGCTTATTTCACTACACATGGATAATGGTGAGTGGGACATTTAATAGCCTTACAACAGAAATACTATTGTATATAAACCTGAGGACTCAGAAGTACACTATACCATTATATCATAAATAACCAGGTTTTTATCAGGTACTTCAAATTAAATTGCCTAAGAACCAATTATGGAATTTATTTAAATGTGAAAAGATTATATTCTTTTTTTGTAGTGTGATCCAAATATCTGCAATAGAAATAACGAAATCTGAGATCCTGTCACTGATTTAAGCATGTGGTTAGATACAGCTTATAAAAGGGAAATTCAAATGCAGTACAAAGGCGACAAACTCCTCATGATTAGTCTTACCTGACTGTGTCATAGACAATGACTCATCTGACCAACTGTAACAGTGCTGATGGGACTTGATGGGTAGATGATATTGTCCTCCAGTCCTATGACTTCCTTTGCTAGACTCCTGCTTTGATACAGATGTGCAGCTTTTGGGAGGCGACTGTTCAAGCAGAAAATCAAATGAGAACTATTTTGTGATACAGTTGTAAAATTCTACTTAAAATTCAAGATATTAGCCAGTTAAAGATAATATTTAAAGAGTTTTTAATAACCCTATGACTTAAAAAGTGAAAAAACAGTTTACAAATTAGAGAATAAGACCTTAATTTTTTTGGAAGACACACAAAAAATAAAGTTATGAGAAAGAATGCCAACATGTTTACAATAAAACTAGGAGTGTAAGTGATATTTATCCCCTTATTCTTTTTAACTTTTGAAAGACTAAACATGTATACTTTTATGAAAGAAAAAAAGGAAGAGAGGAAGGGAGGGAGGGAGGAAGGAAGGAAAGAAATACAGCATAAGACAACTACCCTGACATCAAGTGGAAATCAGAATGCCTGATTTGATTCCTGGCTACCATCACTTCCTATCCCTGGGACTTGTGGGCATGTTTCCTAGCCTGCTTAATTTTTCAGAATAGGGATTATAACAGTATCTACCTTATAGGATTGTTTTCAGGAGTAAATGAGATAATTCATGTAAAGTATTTAGCTTTCTACCTGGCACTTGTTAAATAAGCACTCAATAAATATTAGCCTTTACTATAAAAACTGCTCTAAGATATACTAGTTTTGATTTCCCTGATATATTTCCTTGTGATAAGAAAACCAAATTTTTAGTATTTAATCAGCTTCTGGCTATCCTGAACCTTAGTAATAATGCTGGATAGAAATCTAATCAATTTACAGTAAATGATAAATGAGTAAGATTGTGATCAAAAGCATTTCAACATATAGTTTGGCTGTAAATTCCTGGTAGGAATCATGCTACAAGTAAATTAGATATGCAACAAGCTTATCATTATCATATAATAAATAAGAAATCACTAATATAGTTTAATTAGAAGTCTAAAAACACTGCGATCTAAATACACTGTCTTCAAGTACATGCACAAGGATATAAAAAAAAACGGCTCTTTGTTGGATAAAAAATGTTCTTTCCCCCAATGTTTCAGGTGCTATAACATACATAAATCTGATTTTTTAGTAGGGAAAATGCAGTTGATTTTTTCACTTCTACTTAAAAATGGAATAGAAAATATTCTATTCTGAATCGAAGCAAATTTTTTTTTAACATAAAGCATTAACAATGCCTGTGTTCATTTAATATTTAATATTGTTATGCTAATTACTTGATTTACTTTACAAAATCAAGTTAAAAATAAAAGCTTTTATCTTAAGTTTTTACCAGCTAGTTTCTTTTCTACAAAACAGAATTAAGGACAATGTAGAAAACCTCTTTATTCTAATAACAACCATTTCAGACCTGTGTAAAAGAGATGAAATCATTAATTTTATTCTGATTATGAATTACAGAACCAAATCAAACCAAACCCACTGCCGCTGAGTAAATTATCACTCACAGTGACCCTACAGGAGAGACTAGAGCTGCCCATAGGGTTTCCAAGGCTATAACCTTTACAAAAGCAGACTGCCACATCTTTCTCTGTGCAGTAGCTGGTAGATCTGAACCGGAGACCTTCTGGTAAGCAGCCAAGTACTTTAACCACTGTACCACCAGAGTTCCTTATGAATTTGAGTAGTTATTAATTATATTATATTAAGGTCACAGTGGTATGACTTTAGGTCTCATTGTTTCTGTTACACGAGAAACAGATTTCAGTAAGAACTTGTGTTGTACCTGCAAACTATCTTTATTAAAGACTTTAGAAAGTTCCTAAACCCTCACTATTGATAGCATATAATTTTATAACTGTCACTAAAGCTGTAATTCATGTTTATAAATCCTTATGAGTCAATGAAAAGCTTTATTTCTATTTAAATGTTATTTCCTGTATGTTAAAAATATGGGCAATAGTCACTACTATCATTAACAGCAATAATACAACTGTTAATAATATACCTTTTAGACGGGTTATTTTTAAAGAAGTTTTAATGTAAAACATAAATATACATTAACCTACATGTTTACTAGGAGAGGTAGATGATTCCAGTTCCTGTGAAAAAACCATTTCTTCAGTAAGTATACTGTGATCTGGACTCCCTGGCTGCTCTTGAACTACAGGCTCAGATGGTAAATATTCAACAGCAGGGCTGCCCAGTTCTTCGGGAACAGAGCTTCCACTGTTTAGATTAGAGTACGAAGGTACTGGAGATTCCTCTTCACTGGCTATTTCTAGAATGGGAAGGTGAAACGACAACAAAAAAATACACAATCTTAGCTAATGAAAAAGTTCAACTGTTACACTTTGCATTTGTTTTTTAGCAAAATATCAGGTTGCATTTAGATACTAGCTTATCACATCACTTAACAAATTATATTCACTATTAAGTCTGTTACTGTAACTAAGAATTTTGCCTGACACAAACTGGGAGAAGATATCTGTAATATATAATCAGCAATGATAATGACTGACAATCTAAGTTGTGAGGATGTACAGCAATTGTAACTCTCATATATTCTTTAGGAGAGGAAATTGGTCCAACCATTTTGGAAGAAAACAGCATTACCTGGAAAAAAATTCATATACATACTCTATGACCTAGCAATTCCACTTCTAGGTATACACGCTGAAGAAATCTTAAATGTATTCAGCAGGAGACGTGTACATGTTCATAGTTGTTATTGTTGTTATTAGTTACCGTCAAGTCAATTCTGACTAATGGTGACCCCATATGTGCAGAGTAGAACTGCTTCACGGGGTTTTCAAAGGTGTAGTCTTTCATAAAATGCATAAACTGTGGTATATTTACACAATGGAACGCTACTAGCAATAAAGACAAATGAACTAGAGCTCTATATACCAAAATACAAAAAAAGGAAGTCATAGAAAAATACATAGTACAATTCCAAAAGACAATATATGTAAAAGTAAATAACATATTACTATGGTATCAAATAAACTACAAAGTAATATACAAATACAGGATAATGGTTACCCCTGGAGAGAGCATTAGGGGAGGTGTACACCAGGGTTTCAAAGATTTTGGCACTATTCATAAGTAGAGTGATAGGTACCTGTTATTGTTGGTTACCACTAAGTCAATTCGGACTCATGGTGACCCCATGTGTTACAGAGTAGAACTGCTTCACAGGGTTTCTTCTTGGCTGTAATCTTAACGAAGTAGATCGTCAGGCCACTTCTTCTGTGGTACCACTGGGTGAGTTCAAACTGCCAACGTTTCAGTTAGCAGTCAAGCACAAACTGTTTGTGCTACCTAGGGACCTGTGATAGGCACCTAGGATGATCATTTTATTATTTAAACTTAACTTCATGTTTTATATATTCTTTAGTATAAATGAAATACTTCATAGTAAATGGATAAAATGAAAATTGTGGTTTGTGAATTCTATTTCAAAAAAAGAGAAATTACAGATCTTTAAAAAGAATTTTATTTTGTTGTTGTTGAGAATATACACAGCAAAACATGTACCAATTCAACAGTTTCTACAAGTTCCATTTAGTGACACTGCTTACATTCTTTGAATTGCACAACCATTCTCACCCTCTTTTTCTGAGCTGTTCCTCCCCCATTAACATAAATTCACTGTCTCCTAAAGTTCCTATCTAATCTTTTGAGTTGCTGCTATCAATTTGATCCCATACAGATACTTCTTTAAAGAGCATAAAGCTCAAGGCAGACACTTTTTACTAGTTAAGCTAAACTACTGTTTGGTTTTAAGAAGACTTCAGGGTATATTTTTGGTTTAAGGTTTATCAATTATCTCAGGGCAGCAGTTTCGGAGGTTTATCTAGCATCTATGGCTCCAGAAATTCTAGAGTCCATGATAATTTGAAATTCTGTTCTGCATTTTTCACCTCTTGATCAGGATTCTTCTCTAGAATCTTTGATTAAAAGGTTCAGTAATGGTAGCCAGGTACCATCTAGTTCTTCTGATCTGATGGCAAAGGAGACAGTTGTTCATGGAGGCAATTAGCCACAGATTCCATATCCTCCTCCTATTCCTGACTCTCCTTCCTCTGTTGCTCCAGGCAAACAGGGACCAACTGTTGTGCCTTGGATGGCCCCTTGCAAGCTTTTAAGACCTCAGGCACTATGCAACAAACTAGGAGATAGAACAGAAGCACTAAACTTAGTAGGCCAAATGACTGGGCTGTCCCATGAAACCATGACCCTAAAGCTCCAAACCAAGGAACCAAATCTGACAAGGTTTATGGTTGTACATAAGCAGCCTCAGCAGCTACTTTTTTTTTTTTTTTTTTGCCATTGTTGTAAATATATCTGTCTTAGTTATCTAGTACTTCTACAATAGAAATACCACAAGTGATAGAAATACCACAAGTGGATGGCTTTAACAAACAGAAATTTATTTTCTCAGAGTTTGTAGTTGTTGTTAGTTGCTGTCGAGTTGGTTCTGACTCACAGCGACCCTATGTACAACAGAACAAAACACTGCCCCATTCCGTGCCATCCTCACAATCGTTGTTATGCTTGAGCCCAATGTTGCAGCCACTATGTCAATCCATCTTGTTGAGGGTCTCCCTCTTTTTCACTGACCCTCTACTTTACCAAGCATGATGTCCTTCTCCAGGGCCTGATCCCTCATAACATGTCCAAAGTATGTGAGATGTAGTCTCCCCATCCTTGCTTCTAAGCAGCATTTTGGTTGTACTTCTTCCAAGACAGATTTGTTTGTTCTTTTGGCAGTCCATGGTATACTCAATATTCTTTGTCAACACCACAATTCAAAGGCGTCAATTCTTCTTCAGTCTTCCTCATTCACTGTCCAGCTTTTGCATACATACGAGGTGACTGAGAACACCATGGCTTGGGTCAAGCACACCTTAGTCTTCAAGGTGACATCTTTGCTTTTCAACACTTCAAAGAGGTCTTTTGCAGCAGATTTGCCCAATGCGATGTGTCGTTTGATTTCTTGACTGCTGCTTCCACGGGTGTTGATTGTGGATCCAAGTAAACTGAAATGTTTTCTCCGTTTATCATGATGTTGTTTATTGGTCCAGTTGTGAAGATTTCTGTTTTCTTTATGTTGAGGTGTAATCCATACTGAAGGCTGTGGTCTTTGATCTTCATCAGTAAGTGCTTCAAGTGTTCTTCACTTTCAGCAAGCAAGCTTGTGTCATTTGCATAACACAGGTTGTTAATGAGTCTTCCTCCAGTCGTGATGCCCCGTTCTTCTTCACACAGTCCAGCTTCTCGGATTATCTGCTCAGCAGACAGACTGAATAAGTATGGTGAAAGGACACAACACTGACACACACCTTTCCTGAATTTAGACCACGCAGTAGCCCGTTGTTCTGCTCCAACGACTATCTCTTGATCTATGTATAGGTTCCTCATGAGCACAATTAAGTATTCTGGAATTCCCATTCTTTGCAGCGTTATCCATAATTTGCTATGATCCACACAGTCAAATGCCTGTGCGTACTCAATAAAACACAGGTAAACATCTTTCTGGTATTCTCTGCTTCTGCCAGGATTCATCTGACATCAGCAATGATATCCCTAGTTCCATGTCCTCTTCTGAAACTGGCTTGAAATTCTGGAAGTATCCCGTCAATGTACTGCTGCAGCTGCTTTTGAATGATCTTCAGCAAACTTTTATTTGCCTGTGATATTAATGATATTGTTCAATAATTTCCACATTCTGTTGGATCACCTTTCTTTGGAATAGGCACAAATATGGATCTCTTCCAGTCGGTTGGCCAGGTGCTGTCTTCCACATTTCTTGGCATAGATGAGTGAGCACGTTCAGTACTGCATCTGTTTGTTGAAGCATCTCAATTGGTATTCCGTCAATTCCTGGAGCCTTGTTTTCTCCAATTCCTTCAGCGCAGCTTGAACCTCTTCCTTCAGTACTATTGGTTCCTGATCATATGCTACCTCCTGAAATGGCCGAACATCAACCAATTCTTTTTGATATGGGAGGATAGAAGTCCAAATTCAGGGTGCCAGCTCTAGGGGAAGACTACCTCTCTCTGCCGGCTCTACAGGAAGGTTCTTGTCTCTTTTGAGCTTCTGCTCCTGGGCTATCTTCACTTGGCTTGGCATTTCTTTTCCCCCCCATCTCTGTTTGCTTGCCTGTTTAATGTCCTTTTTATCTCAAAAGAGACTGACAGGAAACACACCCCACACTAATCCTTCCTCATTAACATAACAAAGACAACCCATTCTCAAATGGGATTATAACCACAGGCACAGAGGTTAGGATTTACAACATATATTTTTGGGGGGACATAATTCAATTTGTAACAATATCTATCATACAACTTTTGCCATTTCAACTTTTTACAGATGTACAACTTATTGACAGCAAGTAAAATAATCAGCTGTGCAACTCTACCCTTAATCAATGCAATATTTCCATCGCCGTTAACTCCCCCTTTTTTTCTCCTTTCCCCTTCCCTCCTACCCCTGGTAACCACTAATAAACTTTGTTCTCTATACATTTGCCTTTTACTGACTTTTTATATAAGTGGGGTTATACAATATTTGTCCTTTCACCAGAGAGGACATTCAAATAACCACCAAACACATGAAAAGATGCTCAGTGTCATTAGCTATCTGAGAGATGCAAATCAAAACCACAATGAGGTAACATTTCACTCCCACTAGGAAGGCTAAGATTATCAAAAAAAAGAAAATAACAAATGTTGGCAAGATTGTGGTGACACTGGAACCCTTACCCATTTCTGGTGGGACTGCAAAATGGTACAGATGTTGTGGAAAAAAGTGTGGTGGTTCTTCAAAAAACTAACTATTTAACTACCATATCACCCAGCAATTCCACTCCTAGGTATATACCTAAAAGACTTGAAAACAGAGACTCAAACAGAGTTGTACACCAATGTTCATTGCAGTCCTATTCACAACAGCCAAAAGATGGAAAAACCTAAATGCCCATCAACAGATGAATGGATGAATAAAATGTGGTACATACATACAATGGACTACTATTCAGTCAGTAGGAGAAATGAAATCTTGATACATGCTACAGTATGGATGGAGCTGGAAGACATTATGCTAAGTGAAATAAGTCAATCACAAAAGGACAAATACTGTATAACCTCAGATCATTTTTATTATGCTAATTTTTACAATTTATAGGTATTGTTTAGTTTTTAGAACAGGTATGTTCTAACACAGCTGCCTATAAAATGAACTTCTATAACACAAATATTTTTCCCAATGACT